TGTTTCGGTGGCCCAGGGTTTCACTGGTTCAGATCCTGGGCACAGACCCAGCACCGCTCATCAGGCCATGCTGAGGCAGCATCCCACATAGCACAGCCAGAAGGACCTACAACTAGAATATACAACTATGTACTGGGGGAATTTGGGGAGGAGAAGAAGACGAGAAAAAAAAGAAGATAGGCAATAGATGTTAGCTCAGGTGCCAAAAAACCCCAACTTCTTGAAATTTACACCTAGGTCTCCTTGAGTCTTCATCTAAATACCTAGATGAACATGCAGAGCGAAAACTCCACAGGGCTAAAGAAAATGCGAAAGAACAACTACTAGGGATGACAGAATAGAAGAGAAAAATGAAAAAAGAGTGACAATGACTCTAAAACTAGTTCTTTTAAAAGTTTAATAAAATTTATAACACACTAGATAGACAGATTAGGAAAAAAGATGTCAGAAATTGCTAATATCAGAAGTAAAAGAGTAAAACAGGGGAAATCACTAAAGGTCCACAGACGTCTCAAACAAAAAAAAGAAAAAAGGGATATTATAAACCACTTCATGAAAATGAATTTGAAAAGGTATAAGGAAAGGACAAATTTCATGAAAGATAGAAATTACCAAACTAGGAAAAGAAGAATTAGAAAAGCCTTATCTAAAACGTTTCCCACAAAGATAACTTCAAGATTCCATGATGTCACTGGTAAATTTTGCCAAAGGTTTGTGGAGGAAATAATACAAACTACACAAACTCTTTCACAAGACAGAGGTAAAGGGGACACTTTCCAACTAATTTTGAGGCCAGAATTTCTCTAATAACAAAATTTGTCAAAGACATTACAAAAAAAAGAAATTGATAGGTCAATAGCCCTGATAAAAATAGGTCCAAAAATCCTCAACCAATTATTTCCAAGGCAGATAAGCAATATTAATATTATTTAACATATTATTTTATTATTATATATTATTAATATATTACTTAATATATTAAATGCTAATACACCACAACCAAATGTGGTTTATCCTAGGAATGCAAAGTTGGTTTAACTTTTGAAAATCAGTCAACGCAATTCACCACATTAACATAATAAAAGGGAAGAATCAGATAATTTCTGCAATAAATGCAGAAAAAAATGGATTTAATAAAACTCAATTCTCATTCACTATTAAAATTGTTATCAAACTAAATATAAGGACATTTTCAAATGTCCTGATAAAGGGCATCTACAAAAACCTATAGCTACCATCATACCTAACAACGAACGACTGAAAACTTCCCTCTACATATGGCGAGTGTTGTCACTCCTATTGCAGAAGAGTTCTTAATGAGTGCGAATAGGTAAGAAGAAGAAACATGAGGAAGAAATAAACTCTCAGTACGTACAGTCAACAAGATCATATGTGTAAAAAATCCTAGAGGATCTACAAAACAAAACCAGTAGCACTAATAAATAAATTCACTAAGTTTGCAGGACAAAAGATCTATCCATAAAAAATCAACTGTATTTATATAATCTAGCAGTGAGCAATTCAAAAATTAAATATAAAGAACAATACTATTTATAGGACTATCTACAAACATTAAATAGTTAAGGACAAATTTAACAAACTGGAGCGAAAGCTTACATTGAAAATGACAAAACACTGCTGAAATACAAAAGGGCCTAATGAAATGAAGAGATGGGCCATGCTCATGGATTAGAAGATTTCATATTTTTAAGATGTCAATTTTCTCCCAAGTGATTTCTAGATTCAGTGAAATTTCTGTCAAAATCCCAACAAGATTTTTGTAGAAACTGACAAGCTCATACTAATTTTTTTTTTAAGGGGAATGCAAATGACCTAGAATAGCCAAAACAATCTTGAAAAACAAGAACAAAGTTAGGGGATTAACTCCACTTGATTTCTGGACTGTAAAGCTATAGCGGTTTTCTCCAAAAATAGTCTCCCACAAATCCTTCCTTCTCTGTATATGCTTGCTGCTCTCTCCATCAAGTGGAGTTTATTTCCCTTCCCCTCAAATCTAGGTTGACCCTCTCTTGTGACTTGCTTTGACCAACAGAATGCACCAGAAGTGACACTGTGTCATCTGGACCTAGACTTTGTGAGGCTTACTAGCTTCCATTTTCACTCTTAGCCCACAGCGGTCTGACTCCTCTGCTAGAGAGAAAGGCTGCATGAAGAGAAGTTCTACTGGATGTGAGACTATGAAGAGAGAGAAGCCGCAGCAGCCTCCAGCCATTTTAGCCATCTCAGACAAGGCTCCAGACATGAGTGGAACCATCTTGGATTCTTCAGATCTAACTGATCTGCATCAATTAACACCATGTGGCGGTGAAATGAGCATGTCCTGGCCAAATCCTGCCCAAACTGCAGAATAATAAACAAATAATTGATCGTTTACAGTAAAGTGTTGAGGTAGTTTGTTATGCAAGCATAGAAACCTGAAACAATGAATGATGGAGTAAACAAATGGCACTTCATTTTTCTCAAAGTCTGCCAGCCACGTTAGCACACTGTGTCTGACACTGAGATACTCTCCACAGCTCTCTTCTGTGGTTTTCTAGTCACAGGCAGCTTCTGTAATTACACTTCAGAAATTAAAAGACAAGGAAATCTTTATGCAGCATATCACCAAGTAATTAAAAAGATCTTTCTGATTAAACTTCCGAGTATAAAAGTAATAGATGCTCATTGAAATTACAGTAGAAAAAAAGGGGAAAAAATCACCCATTAGTCCACAAAATCGATGTTTATCTTTTGATGCACTTCATAGAAAAAAATAAATACATTTTTCATAATTGAGATCACATTTTACATAAAGATTGCACCATATTTCACTGCCAGCTGATAGTCATCAAGAATTTGATTTGGAGATAATTGTTTTCAAGGCATATCTCTTCTTACAAGTATCCTAAAATATACAAAATATCCCTCCATTCTCCCAGATTAGCGGAGATTTGCTATAAGAACCAAATCATAAATGCCTGTAGTAAAATAATTTTTAACAAATATGCTTTTGCCATGATATCATCTGCATATATTTAGGCCATATACAAATATATATGAAAAAGTTCCCTGAAATTTATCAGTGTCACATGAAATTCATTGTAGAGGATGTTAATCCCATTAAATAATATTTTATTATGAGGATTCCATTAAATTTCTTTCTAATTTTGGAACCAGAAAGATTGCATTTTTCCTAGATAAATCATTGTCTGTATCTTTGGATAGGCCTGAACCATGTAGCTAATGATCTGGTTTTCTTTTTCGAAGTATAGGACACGACATGGGGCTCCCCCGCAAAAAGTATATCTACAGTCTTGAAATGGGTTCTCTGACCCCAGTTTTAGATTTACCTATTTGCCTTCACCTTTAATCTTTTTCTCTTGGAGAGAATTTATAAATCTTTATAAACTCCTTGTAACACTTTTTGTAAACAGGTAGGATTTTAATCAAGTAATTGATTCTGCCTTATGTCTCATTTATTGTTTACTTATAAATGTTGTTTATCATTACATAATTAGCGGTTTTCCAAAATTTTAATAACTGTATATTATTTTGTTATATGTGTGCACTACCATAATCTACTGTTGGAGATAAGAGATTGGCATTCATTTTTTACTATTATAAAAATTATAAAAAACTACTTTGCACTGAAGTTTTTTTCCATGTATCTGATTTTTTTCTAGGACTGGAATTTCCTGCTTAGAAGATCTTGAAATAGATTACCAAATTTCTTTAGAAAGACAATAATAATTTGCATTCTTGCCATCACGGTCAAGCACTCAGCACATCTTACCAGCACTGAGTACTATCATTGCTCAGACTTTGCTAATATGACCAATAAAGGGGCATTAAGTGATTTAATGTGCATTTCTTAGATTATCAGTGAGAACCCAGACTCTCAATGATGCTTCCTTGATCCCATATCATGTATTCAAGTGTCTTCTCGCCTATCTGTTCTGTAGATCTGTGTCTATCCTTGTGCTAATTCTATACTTTCAAAGAGAAATAATACGTAGTAGGCAATTTTCAATGTTCAAGTACCAAGACTATTCTTGTCCACAAAGTTCAACACTGAGAAACTCTCCTAAGAAATAATCCAAAAATAGAAAATATTTGTGTGAATGCGTACTCACTACATTATTTATAAAAGTGAAAAAAGTCATAACATAAATTTCCAACATTATTGAAATGGTTATCAACAGCATACCATAGAATGAAATATTAGATATTAAATTATGCTCACAGAGTTTGTCAATGATAAAAGGTAAAGTTAAAAGACATTGGAATAAAAGGGAATTTTTCAACTATTAATATGGAAAAATCTCTGCTATACAATATTAAATTAATAATACTAAGATAGATTATTTTTTTCTACTCAATTAAAAAATATGAAGAGAATGAGGTAATTCACAAAATATTAATAGTGTTTAACTCTTAACTAGTAGCATTAAGGATGCTTTATACTCTCTTCTCTGCAACTTCCATTATTTCCTGAATTTCAGCATGCTATACTTCTCCTTGTTTCTTTGTAAATCTGTTCTAGATTAAGGTGGAGCTACATATTTAAAAATATAATGCTTTTATTATTATTATAAAAAATAGTTATTTTTAACTATGCTGTCAACATCCCAATCTCTATTTTGCAATATTTTTACTATCCCTTAATTGAAAGAATTCACAAAACATCAAACAAGAGAAGACTGCTATTCTAAAAGTTCACTTTACCAATGCAAAATTGAAAACAGTTTTAATTTAGGACCAAAGGAAAAGAATAAGTAATAATGTTTTAAGGGGAAAAAAGTATGGAAGGAAAAGACATTGAAAAGCATCAAATTTTTGACTCTGTAACTTAATGAAAACAATCCATCTTTGTGTGGTCATATAATCCATCTTCTAAACTGTTACATCAATTAAAATCATGCCATGTCAGCTCACGGCATCATTTCAGTTCAGTTTGAATTTCTCAGCGAAGGATATGTAGTAAAAATCTTGAAATCTACCTGTCAAATGATGGCTTCTCTCCACAGTCAAAGGCATCCTGGAGCTCTTTAACAAGATTAGCCTGGCCTGGCAGTCGAAAGAGACCCTCTTCTTTCAGCCCCCTTTGTCGGATAAAGTCTACACACTGCTCCACCAGCATTGGAGCCAGACGGTTCCCATATCTCTTCTCATAACGGACAGTATCTTCCAGTTTCTGTCCAAAGATGCCTAAAAGAAAGAAAGGATCACAACGAATTTGAGAAATTTCTCTCTTCTCACATTTGCTGCTTTTAAAACTCAACGTAAAGGAAAAAGAGAAGATTGCAATGCTGAAAAGCATTTAATATTTGGTACTTTACATCACAGAATCAAATTCATTATATATAATTCTTAAAATGAAAATGGTTTACCTTATGCTGCCCTTTCCCCCTGTATTCTGCATTTAGCCCAAAAGCAAAACAAAAATACGGAGTTTGAATTATCCACTTTGAAATAAGAAACACTGCAATAAATATAATTTTAGCTTTGGGTTTTCTTTTTTTTTCCTTCTGGGAAAGGAATTGTATTCAAAAGCTTAAAAGCAGAAATATTCTGCAGACAAAAGTCAAATCCTACTTTTGTTACAGTTTTAACTTTACGTCCAATTTTCATTTACTCTAAATACTGTTCATTTCTCTGTTCACCTTTTGTTTTCAATCAAGTTATGATGCCAGGATTATAATCAAGGTGGTAAAGCCAGGAAAAGAAACCCAGAAGTTTTATCCATATAAAATATTTCAGACAGTGTTTGCTTTTTAAAACCTTAAACTATTAATTTATTGGAAAAGGAAAAATGTGAATTACGAAACTGTGCATACCACAAGAGAGGAGGCGGGATCCTGGTGGTTTGCCCTGACAGCGAGGCATATTTGTCTAGAATTGTCAGTACATGGCAGTAATAAAAAGCAGGCCAATTTTGATCAATTTTATTAAAATACCTACAAATGATGCATTCCTCGGTGCATACATTTGGGGCTGAACAGCCCCACTATTCACCCTTGGTACCCCATTGATTAACAGACAGTGCCTCTAAAATATATTTATATGCGGGGGTAGCTTCGTAAGAATGATCAACCTATGAGAAAAGAGGGAGGGGGAAAAGCTGGAGGAAATGTGACTCCGTTGTCCCCAGAGGGGATGAATATGATGAAATCTTTTTGATGGTCTAATGAGGTTCATGAAAGGGATATAAAAATAAGTGTTGCATGTTCAAATTATGCAAGACTCTAGAATGTTTGGGGAATTATTTCAAACCATTAGGTTAAGGATTTGACAATAAGAACATACGCTTTACTTGCCTATCTGTAAAATAACTTATAGATGGATACAGTAATGCAAAATCATCATATTCCAAGCAACAAACACTTGCTACCAAAGAGAATATTCTTAGCCTAGGTAGAAACAATAACGCAACAACAAACCAAACTATTCTACACCTGCTATCAAATCTAGCACTCATGGAATTCATATATATTCCTTTTAGGAAAAAAGGTTGAGTGACCTAATATTAACGTTCAAGTACAAATAAAGCAGAATTAGAAAATGGCTTTCTCTAAGGGCAGTGAAGATTAAAGCAGGTAACAGCGCTGTTTAGCTTACTCTGTATACTTTGGAACAAGCAGTTTCTTGATAATAGTGAATAGAATATTGTTTGCTAACTCAACAGACCTTCACACCCCTATTTTCTCTTGCTATCTCCACTTCAGAGGCTGGAAAATGAAATACTTCTGCCACTTCCCAATAAGTCTTCTGCAGCCTCTAAGAAAATTTGTTTTCTTGATGAAAGAGAAGGACCCAGCTGGAATTGCCAATCACTCCTTTTTTCTATCATGAACTTGGACATGGTATCTATCAATCGAAGAGTCATCTTTCGACCATTAGGTAATAACTGCAAGGCGAAAGGCTGAAAGATTCAGACGACAGGGCTGAAACCACTGAACCACTGACCTGATAGCAGCAGCACCTTCCTGCAGAATTTCTTTTTTTTTTTTCTTTTAAGATTGGCACCTGAACTAACATTTGTTTCCAATCTTATTTTTTTTTTTTTCTTCTTCTCCCCAAAGCCCCCTAGTACATAGTTGTATATTGTAGTTGTGGTCCTTCTGGTTGTGCTGTGTGGGATGCTGCCTCGGCATAGCTTGACGAACGGTCCGCGCCCAGGATCCGAACCAGTGAAACCCTGGGCCGCCGAAGCGGAGCGTATGAACTTAACTACCCGGCCACGGGACCGGCCAGCTCTAGAATTTCTTTTAATGTGAGAACAACAAGCCCCTGTGTGTTTAAGCCACTGTTAGCTGGGTTTTCTTTTACTGGCAGCAATGCAGAATTCTAACCCATAGCGTGGTGATAATGATTTTGAAGATATCCTGGTATTTTCATAAAAGCTTGCAAATTGATTATGAATGAAGAATATTGACTCTTTTTCTGGGGGTTCTTTGACAACAAGTGTGATGCTTATTCCCTGGGGATGTTTGGATTCTACGCTGCCAAATGTAAAGAAACAGCCTTTCACAGGCCCTTATAGATTATTTAAAAAAATAATGTTGACATTTGGGAATAAATCTCATGTATGTGTGATTTTCCACTTATTGCTTTGGATGGATAAATATATTACGTAAGGTTTCTCTCTAAATCCAGCAGAATTCTACTAAAGATGTTCCAAGTCAATGTCTATGTGCGCTACAAATGAGACCCCAACTTCCAAGATTTGGTTTTATGCAGTAATGAAAAACAGTCAAACCTTCTTTTCTTAAAACTCTCAGGATTTCTTCTTTCCTGACAATTTAGAGAAGTGATAAAGGAAGGGGTAAGTTTGCTTTAGATGAATACTCTGGTTTCCTTTTTTTGTTTTTTCTTGTACATATAGGCTTGCCTTTACGACAAGAATTTACTTAAGAGTTACAGCAAGAAATTAAAAGCTAAGAGCCTGAACATCCTCCAATTTATTAAGAACACATTACATACTAAGTTCATACTAAGTTCTTGCCATATGTTCTCTCGTTTTCGTAATAAATATATAATGTAGCTATCCTATACAAGAAGAAAGTGGTGCTCAGAGAGATTAAATAAATCACCCAAGGTTAGTTACAGAGCATCAAGTGGCATAATGGAAGTCCACATCCAGATTTCTTCAGCCTTAAACCCTTTGCTCATTCCTGAAAACCAGCCCTCTTCCTTTTTATTTAATCACAATTATCATGCATCCTAATTTTCTAGTAATTTAAAATATTAGTAAATTCTAAAAAGGAGTAAAGTGGCTTATCTTCTCTGTGCTCTAGAAAGTGACTGTGGCTAAGCTGTACTTATGTATGCCAGGCATAGTGACAAGTAGTTTATCTGCATTTCTCTCACTTGAAACTCACAGCACTCAATGAGGTATTACTCTCATTTTACTGAGGAAGAGACTGAAGCACAGGAGGGTTAAGTAAGTTGCTGAATGTCACACAGCTAGTACATAGTGGAGCCAGGATTCGTTCAAGACTTTTGGATTCAGAGCCATTCTATATCTAGTACACAATACTGCGAAGTGTGCTCAATGGCTGAAAACTGAGCTATGGGGGAAGAAAACTGTGTATACTAGCTTTCCTACCTCACTTCCTGTCATCACACTAGGAGGGGTAATTTCTGTTGAGAAAATGTAAATATGGGGGGAGGTCAGAAAAAAAAAAGAATGAAAAAAACCCTGAACATTTAGTGAGCATTGTGACCAAGGAAAGGATTTCCCCTACATACAGAGGGGAACATAAACAGCTATGTCTACTTAGCTACCTAATATGTATGAGAGTTAAAGCATGCAGACAATATGTACATATGCTTAGAAATTCCCGTGGAAAAATAATAGTTTTCTGCTCTTGATCTGGTCTTGGAAAGAATTACAGTGGATATATACTTTCCATTCTGTAGCACTGGAAATAAAACGTTCCACACATTTCTGGCTTGCAACAGGTGGTGTGAGTTAATCTTCTGTATGAGGATGGTTTTTATGATGAAAGCTAGGGGGAAAATTTTATTTATTTTATTTTTTGGTGAGGAAGAATAGCCCTGAGCTAACATCTGTTGCCAATATTCCTCTTTCTGCTTGAGGAAGATTGTCACTGAGCTACACTTCATGCCAGTCTTCCTCTATTTTATGTTGGATGCCACCACAGTGAGGCTTGACGAGCTGTGTGGAGGTCCAGGCCTGGGATCCAGGCCTGTGAACCCTGGGTGGCTGAAGCAGAGCACATGAACTTAACCACCTCGCCACTGGGCTGGCCCCCGGGAAAATTATTTTTAAAAAGCTGTTTTATTTAGATTTTTTTTTGAAGGTGCAGTGAAATTTCAAATTTTAAAATTAACAGAAAAGCACAAAGGTCATGAGCTATGCCCAACTAGTAGAATGAGGAAAAGAACACAAGATTAGTAGATAATTAACAAGAATATTCCCTGTGGTGTGAGACATGCAACCAGTCCCAGCTACGTCCATTTACGTTCCCAGGAAAGTTTCACACTCCCTGATAAAACCTTTTTGGGAATCTCTGGGTGACGATGGTGTGTCCTGCATACTTTTCCTGGAAGTACATTGATGGCATCATGAAGCATCCTCCACGATGTGACTTTTCACTAGACTGAGAAAGTAAATCACACAGGTGAATTTATTGCACTTGTGGGAGGCTGTCTCAACTGGAGAGAGGAAAAGAGAGAGAGAAATCTAACCATCCTTCAGGATTTGTGAAATTCCACTGTCACATGTGATTTATATACCCAATACCTAGAGGCAGCCTGTGAAGTTAGTGAGTGTGATCAGAGAAATATATTTGCGTTCCATCCTTCTTAAAAATGAATAAACAAATAAATACAAAGCCAAACCTTCTGGGACTCTCCATGCCCTGTAATTATTTATTCCCTTTGCCTCTCGATTCCCAGTCAAGTGCGACTCAGGCTCTATTGCATCACTCTCTATCCTCTTGCCAACATATGCATTTTGGCCTCTGAGACCGTCACTCCACTAAAAGATCTTTTTCTATAGTCACCAACAACTTCCTGGTTGTCAAACCACTGACAGTCATATTTTTTTGTATTACTTTATGCCTCACTCGTTTTAAAACTATCAATCTCCTTCTTCTTCCTGACACTTCTCACATGTTACATAATCCATGCCTTCCAGAATGTTCTTCTCAGTCTCCTTCTTGAGTATGCTACTTACTACA